ACAGTATAAAGCACACACAGAAGAAAATGTCCATACTAAATGCTAAAGTCCTGATCATCACCAAGCCCCTTCCTGCACTAACTGTCCACAAGACCCTCCTGGACAAGAACTCTTAAAAAACCCAGTGGGAAAAAGTGAGAAACCTTGGAGGAGAACTAGGGAAACCCACAGGGAGGGAGACCCATATGAGAAAGGGATCCGCTCCTCCGGACGGACAGACTAATGATCTAGGACCTAAGCTAGCTACAGAACGTGGACCAGTGGACGCTGAACGTGGACAGGTCCGGGGTGCAGGACCGAAGCACTCCCAGGCGGGTCGGGCGGGGCAGTCCGCAGGTGTAGATGGAAGAGGCCAGGCTCAGAGATCCCGTCATCGTACCATGAAACAGACAATGGGACAACGGTGAATAGCCAAGGAACAAACTACAGTTCCTTAACATAAATGGGAAGCTGATTCCACAGTAAAGGAGCTTGGTAGCTAAATGCTCTGCCACCAACAGTGACCTTTGAGCCTTAGGGACCACCAGACGTCTGGCGTTTTGTGAGCGCAACGCTCGACTTGGTTGATACGACACTAACGTGTCTTGGAGATAAGAAGGAGCCAAGCCATTTATGGCTTTATATGTTAAGAGTAGGATTTTAAACTTTATTCTGTACTCCACAGGGAGCCAGTGGAGTGATTTTAACACCGGAGTTATGTGCTCCCTCCTTTTGGTACCTGTTAAGATCCTAGCTGCTGTATTCTGAACGAGCTGGAAGCTCTTCAAAGAGGCTTTAGGGCACGCTGCCAGTAAAGCGTTACAGTAGTCGAGCCTTGAGGTGACAAACGCGTGAATGAGTTTTTCCGCGTCACTTTTAGGAAGGAAATTCCTAATTTTAGCGATGTTCCGTAAGTGGAAGTACGCCGTTTTAGTTGCTTGGCTTATATAAGCCTTGAAGGAGAGTTCTTGGTCAAAAATGACTCCAAGATTCCTCACAGTGTTACTGGGTATTATACTGACATTATCGAGAGTAACCATCTGGTTAGTGAGGGAGTCACGCAGGCGCTTCGGACCGAGTAGGATCACTTCTGTCTTCTCCGGGTTGAGAAGTAGGAAGTTAAGAGTCATCCACATTTTAAGGTCCTTTATGCAGGCACTGAGCTTTTCTAGCTGATCTGTCTGATTAGGCTTCATCGACAGATAAAGCTGTGTGTCATCTGCATAGCAGTGGAAATTAATTCCATGCTTTTTAATAATGTTTCCCAGTGGCAGCATGTAGAGAGTAAAAAGAATCGGTCCGAGTACCGAACCCTGCGGCACACCGAATTCCACTCCAGAATAAGGCGACGAGTCCTGATTCACATTGACGAAGTGATATCGATCTGATAAATAGGATTTAAACCAGCCAAGGGCTGTTCCTCTAAGACCTATATCACATTCTAGCCTCTGCAGTAGAATGCTGTGGTCTATTGTGTCAAATGCAGCACTAAGGTCCAGTAGGACCAGCACTGACACTTGTCCATTATCGGCAGCTAGTAGTAAGTCATTTGTGACTTTGACTAGTGCCGTTTCAGTGCTATGATGAGCTCTGAATCCTGATTGAAAGACTTCAAACATATCATTTTCCTGCAGGTGGCAGCGGAGCTGCTCAGCTATAAGTTTTTCCAGGATTTTAGATATAAAAGTGAGGTTCGAGATCGGTCTGTAGTTTGTAAGTATTTCTGGGTCCAGGTTTGTTTTCTTCAGAAGGGGTTTGATTACCGCGGTTTTAAAAGCTTGTGGGACATAGCCACATTGTATGGATGCGTTTATTATATTTACGATAGGCTCAATTATCAAAGGAAGTATGTCTTTGAAGAGCCATGTCGGGACTGCGTCTAACATGCAAGTTGAGGCTTTTGAGGATGTGACCACAGAGATCACCTCTGCTTGGCTCACAGCCATGAATTTATTAAGGCCCACTGAAGAGTCTAAGTGGGAAGTCACGTATGCCGCTTCAACCTGTCCACCACTAACAGCAGGAGCAACCTCCTCCAGCTTGTCACGGATGGATGTAATTTTATTATTAAAGAAGTGGAGAAAGTCGACTCTGCTCAGTGAGCTTGGAATTTTAGGCTCGATTGCGCTATGGCAGTTTGTGAGTTTAGCGACGGTACCAAACAAAAATCTACTGTTGTTTTTATTCGCTTCTATTAAAGTTGAATAGTATTGAGTTCGAGCCCCGCGAAGGGCCTTCTTGTAGTTTCGGAGACCTGCTTTCCACTCCCTGTGGACAGGCTCCGAGTGGGAGTGGCGATATAGCCTCTCCAATTTTCTGACGTCCTGTTTTAAAGTGTGGAGTTGAACACTGTACCAGGGCGACGATGATCTAATCCTAATGGTTTTCTGTTTTAAAGGAGCTGCTGCATTTAATGCAGATTTTAAAGACTCCATAGTGTTGCCCACCGTTTGGTCGATGACTGAGGGACTGCAGCTGCTGTGAACAGGTTCACCTGCAGCAGTATTCAACATAGGCTGTATTAGTTCTTTGAACCTTGTGATAGATTTATCATTTAAGGTTCTTTTCATTATGGTTTTATCTTGCGGGACAGGAAAGTCCTCCAAAGCGAGATCAAACGTGATCAAGAAATGGTCAGACAGCAACGAGCTTTGACGCTGGATGTCAACATTGGAGACATCACAGCCGTAGGTCAGGACAAGGTCCAAGGTGTGGTTATGAATGTGAGTAGGTTCCTCGACATTCTGAGTAAAACCAACACCATCTAGTACGGCGCTGAAAGCTTTGTTTAAGCTGTCAGTGCTGTCGTCCACATGTATATTGAAGTCTCCAGCTATAACTATGTTTTCCCATTCCAAAACTAGGTTTGAAATGAAGTCAGAGAATTCTGTTAGGAACTCGCTGTAAGGACCAGGAGGTCGGTATAAAACTATAAATAGTACTGCTTTTTGTTTTCTCCACCCAGGACAGGTGATTGAAAGTGTTAAGTTTTCAAACGAGTGAAAAGCGTTGTTGGTTTTGGGACTAAGAACCAAGTTGGTGTGTGATATAATCGCAACACCACCGCCGCGACCTGTAGCTCTGGCTTTCTGGTAGTTAACATGCGTCGGAGGAGTGCACTCATTCAATCTAACGTACTCGTCCTGTTGGAGCCAAGTCTCCGAGAGCGCTAACAGATCCAAGCCCTTGTCTATAATAAGTTCGTTTATGAGAAGCGATTTAGACGAGATTGATCTGACGTTCATTAAACCACATTTAACAACCCTACTGTTAGAACTATTTCTGTCTGTCTGAACTTTTATTAAGTTACTGTGTCTGACACCTAGGTCAGATTTCCTCGCATATAGTGCTTTAGACTTCAAGCGGGGAACACACACAGTTTCAATCTGACTAGGGTCTGAGGCTAGTAACTGAGCACACACAGGCACACACACACATGCACACACAGTTTTAATCTGACTAGCTTCTGAGGCTAGTAACTGAACAGATGGGGGCTCAGAGGTTGTGGCAGAGCAGCTCTGCACCCGGGCCTCAGTTCTGCACCGTCATTTGAGCCGAGCAGAACAGTTTAGAGCCAGGGCCAAATTCTTAGCCAAAAGGGATGTACCCGCCAACGTTGGGTGGATATCATCCGAGCGGATGAGACCGGGCTTTCCCCAAAAGGCACTCCAATTGTCAACATGAACAACACCACTTCGAGGGCACCAGCCAGACAGCCAGCGGTTGAAAGCCGAGTGTCTGCTGAATGCTTCTGCACTGCTAGTGCTAGGTAGGGGCCCAGAGAAGATGACAGTGTCGGCCATTGTGCTAGCCAGCTTGCACACGGCGGCGACTTGCAGCTTCAACACCTCGGACTGTTTCCGCCGAACGTCATTACCACCCGCGTGAATAACAATTCGACGGAAACGCTGCTTGTGGGTCATCATGAGCCTCAGATTCCCTTCAATATCACCAAGCCTGGCCCCAGGGAAGCACCGAACAGTGGCTCCTGGGATCTTAACACCTCTAACAATAGAGGAGCCAATTACCAGCGCATCAGCGACTCCATCGGCTCTTTCAGCAGCTCTCTCAGCGGCTCTCTCAGTGGGGCCTTCTTCCCCGCCCGGCCGCGCGGGGGCGCAGCCGGACAGAGCGTCCCAGCGATTGTAAATGCTAACAGGAGGAGGCCCAATGGGGAAACTACCAACAACACGTCGCCCTCTCCGAACAGTCACAAAGCCATCACTATCCTGGTCTTGTCCCAGCTGCGGAGGACGGGCTGGGAGGCTAGGCTCGCTAGTTCTCCTCTGCCTTTCCCTAAAGCTGCGCTCCGCTGTCCCTGAGGATACGGCCTGGCTGTAGCTAATGCTAGCGCTAGCTCGAGACTCCAGTGCTCGGAGACGCAGCTCTAACTCACTGACCCTGGATTCCAGAGCTACGACTACACTACACTTCACACATCTATCACTACCCTCAGAGAAGGATCCAGGGTTTAGACTCGCCATATGGCAACTCGAGCAGTAAAGGATTGAGGGAGAGACAGCGACCGCCATAGTAGCGAGTTAGCGGCTAGGCTAGGCTAAGCTAGGCTAGGCTAAGCTAGTACGGATCCGGGCCCGCACAACAGACTCCGAGACCAGACAAACAACCGCTACCTAAACCTCAGCTACAGTACAGCTGACTCGGAGTGCTTA